GTGGTACTTGCAAATGAAATCTGAGGCATGAGTGCTCTTCCTTAACGATGAATCATCTATTCTGTACTTTTCTTTGATATTGTGTCATAGCTAGATAGCTGCATACGCAATTAAAACCTGATGCAAAAAAAAAGCAAACGATGGAAGGTGCTATGGTAAGCCTGCTAGTGGTGTTCTCTGGTATAGTTTGAGTAACCTGAGCACCTCTTCCATACGGGAAGGAGAAACCCAAGACCATACCTCGCTCGGAGGAAAGATAATGGATGCCGGAAGCATGTCTGGATAACTCAGGGTTTTTGAGACGTTCCTCTGGGTGGGTATTCACGGATGAGGGTTGACTTTGGGTGAAGAAAAAGCCGCCATAACTTCGCAGTGGTACTTGCAAATGAAATCCGAGGCATAAGTGCTCTGATTTTACATTGAGTCATTTGTTATTTAATTTTAATCTGAAATTGTTTCATGGCTAGATATCTGCATACTCAGTCTGAGTCTGATGTAAAGAGAAACAATGGAATAGAATTCCCAAAGGAGTCTAGCGATGCGATTAGGAAGTGAGCAGATGGGAATCAATTCTTGTCTATATGGAAGAAAAGTGCCAGGAGTCTATAGTCCAAGCTGTCCATGTGGCTACCAATCGCTGAATCCCAAGCATATGATTAGGTCCTACCCTCGATGGTCAAACGGTAGAGCTGAGATCTGAAGATAAGCCAACGATCGATCCTATGAAGCCATGTTAAACAATCCTGGAGACATCAAAAGGATAACACAATGGATCCTAAATCACGGTTGGATAGAGCAATTCCAGATGACATAGCCGGTCGAAATGCTGCTGAGGGAAAGGAAAAGGTCAAATAATACTTGGGGCAGGTAGAGATGATCTGGTTGGTTTACATGGATGGCACCATAGTGTTGAGGATCCAAGGTTGAAAGACCTCCAGATTATTACGAGGCTCTCATAAATTGTAATGCTTATGTAATGTTGTTCACGTTGGAGTCCGGGCGCAAGATAAGGAATACTGTACTCAAATAGACGATACCCTGTATTAATAGAAAACCAAGTTACATCTAGTCTTAAGCTCTACTATACATATTAGTAGTTTGGAGCCACGAGACACCCGTAACCTACGCCATCTTAAAGCTAAGCTTATCTCACTTTTCATACATACTAATCCATCAGGAACCTCAGTGTAACTGCGCTTCCTGAAAAAAATATGTGAAAACTATAGACAACAACTAGAAAGGTGTGGGAGGTTCTCACTACAAAGGTTTCCTCCCGAGTAAATATTATAGACTGTAGACACCTGCATGGGCCCATAGGGCGCCAAATCAGAACAATAAAATCAAACCATGTAGAATAGAATGAAGTCCAAGTCCCTACTGAGTCTATGAAGATGAAGGACTAAAAAGAAACAATCACTGCCGGCAAGCACAAATTCTTCAAACAACATTAGTGCCGGTTCAATCACTCAGTTCGTTTTGCACATCTAGGACAGCCAAGAAGAATTGCATCTGGATCGAGTTTGAAAGCAATCATAAGCACATCTATAATCGACAACATCTCGTCAATACTGGTCTTGCCATTCTTTCGCGAGTCCTCAATATCAATCTTACTACACCACCTCGTCTTAACTACTGATAAAGGCGTTACTCCAATTGCAAACAAGACCTTGCCTCATTAATTACCGGCACCCACTACATAAGTAGTCAAAACATCAAACCGAGTCATCATCGTACATAGTCGCCGGGGAAGGACCGGCGACTAGGGTGGGGAACGATGGGGGGTAGAGGTAATCGATGAGCATGATGGAACTGCCGTTTTTTGAGAGGTTTTTGAATTTGGAATGTTTGTGGGCGCAAAGAGCAAGATTTCGGCTAGCTAGCCAGGAGGACTTCTATTTTCGTTGAGTCCATGGCACTCTCTGGTACCCTAGACGGCATAATAGAGTTGGGCTGAGCTACTTGTCGGATGACCTAGTTAGTCAATGATCGTCATTTTACTCCCTTGGAAATGATGACTAATAGCGTTGACGAGTAATGAGGTACCCATTCATGAATGGTGTGAGGAGAGAAGAATAACTTCTTTATCTACATATTTCCTGGAGAAGAGTAGCGACGAGAATCAAGGTATATGTCTGACAAGAATTATAATCTTCTCTCCACTTGATAGGGGCTAAACCTCTCGGGAATGTTGAAAATACATGATTCAGGCTACATTCTCGGGAAAACTTGTTGTGGACTCAACTGACTTATTTATCACGGGACAAGTCATAACAGTCATAAGTGTGTATCCGGCTTCGATGAAAGCCCGATCGTGCACAATGTGGCCTGTTGATCGACCCACGTGGTATGAGTTTTAGATTTGATTTCATTTAGCCCGTTCAGGTACCCTATGGGCCCATGCAGGAATATCTAGCTATAATTTTTACACAGGAGGAAACCAAATTCGGTAAAAACCCGTCAAAACTGTCTGTCTCGTGTCTATTGGTTTTCTGAGGTTTCCTGCAGGAAGTTTGTTTACGCTGTTTATACAGTGTTAATTCCGTCCTATCCTTATCCACATCATCTCATGTTTTCGTCCAATGCTATTTCTACTTCTCTTGCAAGCTGGAATTGTTCAAACCAGTCTTTTCCCAGTATCCATTTTGTAATTCTCTCTATATCATCTGGGCTGTTCATCATTGCCGCAAATGACCTATCTTTTGCCTTTCGAAGCACCTCTCCCCTTCCTATTGCCAACTGAGGACACGCCAAGACCATATTTTTGACATTTTGAGACGTATATCCACACTGGCATTTTGTATTAATCACTTCGGGGACTTTCCTTCGATACAGATAAGAATTGAGACCAATGTGCTCACTTCTTATCTGAACTGCAATACTGCTTTTGGCCCTACTAATCTTTGGGCGGATATTTGAGGATATTTTTCTATATGTAATCCATTTTCTGCCTATTGTCTCAATTGTAATGTGGTATGGGTCAATAATTAAGTGAGTTGATGATCTTGTATACAAATAGACAAGGTAGAACCAGGTTTGGCTGTAACAGGCTTAGAGTAATGCTAAGCTACTGGTGTAGGACAACAAGGATATCAATAATACCAGAGAATAATGGACGAAAGATATGGTGATTGAAATGAGGATGTTATTGGTCGTAACTGTAAACTTGATGGGGTTTTGGTGTGGATCGATCTCGTTGGGTGAGAGAGTCTGATTTCGTAGAGAGTCTTGGATCATTGCCTCGTAGGCCAACTTCTTCGGAATTGCGAAATTTGTCTGAAATTGGCTCGGGGAAAACATTTCACTCCCAGGTTCGTAGAGGACGCTGCGTACCGGTGCTCAATCTTTATCCTCCTATGATCATTTTTAACCCAGAAACAAAGATGCTGAGGCGTTTGGAGAAGTTATGAACCCTGTATTGGTAGTTCCTTATTAGCGTGTAGATGAGCCTAGCAGCCGTAGGTAAGCAGGAGCTGGGTCAAAGCATTTCTAGAGAGTGTAGAGACTGCAGAAAATCACACGTTTTATTTGACCACTTACTATCACAACTGTAATTCCAGTATTCCTGAATCGGTTGCATGAAGGAATTATCATCTATCATCGTCCTGCTTACCGAAGCTAATTATAACAATATATGTTGCCAAGTAGAAATACCAAGACTGCACTACTGGTAGCTGCCGTAGTGGCGCGGAAATTGCTGTTCAAAAAGATCAAACCCGTAGCGCCCTGGAGCTCCTTATTTTTTTTAATATATCATTTAATATGTATTCAGATATCTAGCATTGGTACATGACCATTGATATATATATATATATATATATAATGATTGACTATTTTGAAGTTAGAGACACTCATATTCTAGATTTCAATCGCAAATACTGCCATGAGGTATGTGTTGCAAGCATGCCCCCGCCATCCCAGTTCAAGTTCGAAAGGTCTCCAAATTATCTAGACTCTACTCGAGATACCAGCGAGGATGATCTTTCACTGTATCTTTCTAGCGTGACCGTTTAAAACTGTCACCTGTACTCTCTTGAGGGATGTGGTGTATCGCACAATGCTCGATATAATAATCACCCTTCCAAAAAGGAAATCTCATCCCTTCGAAGATTGAATCCACCCTCAGCATCTTTCTCATATCCATGGTCAAGATCTGCCTCCCAGATTCTTTAGCCAAGGTTTTTCTCCTTCTACGGCTATTTATACTGTCACTGGCGTGTATTTAGAGATCGGAAATCTAGTTGATGCGGAGAGTGCTGATTTGGGTATCGATATACTGGGTCAAACTTGTAGACTGAACGAGGCTTTGGTGGAAGACTATGTTGATGATGTGATGTTTTCATTGTAATTCTTGAGTCTATGACTATCTCGCACATAGGGCTCCTCTCCGGCTCAGGCCACAACTTATACAGTGCTCATTGCCTCTTGTGTTCCTTGAAAGATCATTGGCATATTGCCCATGATTAATAGCCATTCAGCTCGGTATTTACCCGTGGAATTCAGCCACCTTTTCCACGGAACCTTCTACCCAAAATGGAAGACTATCTTATTGGGAGTGGAGGATGGAAGTTTTGCACCCTTGTCTCGGGCCAACTTATTCGGAAAAGCGAAATTGGTCTAGAGTCAGCTCTGGGAGACCATTTCATTGAAAGGTTCGCATAGAAACTACTGACATATGTATAGTATTCATTTGTCACTCTTACCTTTCCTCCTGTGCCGTAAGATGATCGATTAACTTAACACGAGTCATAGGGCGTCAATGAATCGAGACAAGGAAGCGCTGTTGGCAAACTAAATACTTGAGCACCATTTCTGCCAACATCATCTGGCGTTCTACAATTCTTACTCTACATACATACAGATGCAGCAAATTCAGACGGTATTGGCTTGATCCTTAGCTAACCCTTCCAAATCCATACAACGAGGAGTTTTGGCAAGATCGCACCTCAACCCCATCCGACAATAACTTAAGAATTGAGTTGATCTATTGCTATCCTATCAGCATGAATTGTATTCTCGCATTTCTCTTTTACATAGCAGCCAATGTTGAGGAAAAAAAGAATAATTCTTTTCCCAACACTCAAACTTTCGAAAGCCGAATAGTGTTCCTGAGCTCGCGATCCTCTGTATCACACTATAGCGTCCATAATTTTAAAAAGACCGTCGCATTCCCTTCATCCCGGTACTCTGATATATTTGCAACTCAGACCAGGTTGGATGATCACAGAGAATTAAGTAAGGACAATCCTCCTAGCGGTACGTACGTTAAGGCATATTGCTCTTTTAAATATGAGGGTTTCGAAATAGCAAAGATAATCAGCAGACCTCTGAAAAATTGGTCCGCCAGTACCCATATTCATTTTGGTGTTCACCCACAGGAAGCGGAGCAATGTCTGAAAAAAGCCAAACCTATCATTCCTAAAGGGACAGCAAGGACCCCTATTTCTCTAAAAAGTCTCTTAAAGGAGAGAGTTTGTGACGAAAATTTAATAGCTTACCTAGCCTATGGCCGTAAAATCGTGGTAGGTGGAAGATTTAAAGACTTTGCTCCAACTATTCAAGGAGAGGAGCTCGATATTATTGCCGATGTCCCATTAAGCATGGAGAACGTAATTTACCAGAAAGAAATCTTAATGGAGCATGAGACCGACGATTTTCATTCGGGACTTGTTTGGTATCAAGGTCATTTGCATCTGTTTAGATTAAATTTAAGTGGCAATGGGTGGTTTGCCGAAACTGACTTAACCAACGAGATGGCAAATGGAACTCCGATAATTGAGCATGCAATGCAAGCCCATGAACAATTAAAACAGCTCAAAGACCTATGGGAGCAATTAATTATCGTAAATGGAGAGGGTGGCTCATCACAGAGTCCGAGGGACTCGTACCTCGGGCCCAAAGAGTCGAACAAGAAATTTCGTGATCAAATAACAAATACTTTGATAGAAAAACTTGAGGCTAGAACGGCGAAAGGAGAAATTTATGGAACAGCCCAGTGGAAAAAACGTTACGAGGGTTATATTCTAGGGTACATGGGTTAATCGGATCCCCGGGTACCGATCATCAATTCAACCTCTCAACCAACTCAAATTATGCATCCAATATTTATCGAAAAATTGGATTTACTTGAATTTCACCTCTAAATTTATCCTATTCATTTGATGAATTTCTTCACTATAACGGCTTACAAGCCTCAGTGTCTAGAGCAGTTGGAAGTTAGCTGACTGATGTTGAAGTGGAGCTGGGTTTATAGATTTTCAAATGATTGATGATGATGATGATGGCGACGATAATTATGTTTTTTGTTTTTATGTTATTGTCGTGTAGAGTCTGGTTATTTAAGGGCGTACAGATCATTTCTACATACAGGCCTGGAGTGTCTATGCCTCGGGTAGTGTTCTCTGTTCTTTGTCTCCCTCACAATTTTTTTCCTGCAGTAATACTCCCATAGATCTTCATTTGAGTACACATTTATATGATTCGCTAACCCTTTATTGTATACCCTATTCGACTAAAAAAAGGTGACTATTTTTCGGTTTTGCCGAAGGGGAAAATCAAAAAAACTACTAGGTGCGGGGCTCTCCTAGTACTGATATCAAGACTAAGCTCTAGAACATAGCTACCCTTCTGAAGCGTCCCCGGAGGCCGGCTAGCTGGAAGCTGAAGGCCTGAGTGTTCCTTGGAAAGTCTCATCCAGCCTCCTCACCTTCTATTTTAATATGCTACAAATTTTGTAGCAGTTTGAGCTGGACGAATGGGTATGTGTGTACTGTTTATCGCCTGATGTGGGCCAGGCTATTATCCCATAGGGATATAGACCGTGTGTTGAAAATCTAGGAAATAAAAGCCTCCAAGCTTCAGTAGGGTCTAGATTTTCTTAATATAGAAGTTTAAGCCATCTAGTTATGTCAGATTGAATAGTTAGGAGCGCATTCACCATGACCTTAACATCACGGGCCAAGGGAAAAATAATGGAGAATCCTATGCAAAAAAACATCGGCTATTCTTCCCATATTTATTTCGACGGGCTGCCGCAATCCTCTCTGAAATAAGCCATATAGGAGTCTAACCTACCGTCTCTAGAAGGCACAGCCATCACTTGACTACTTATGCTGACAGCTTATTACAAGCGTTGTTGCCACCGCCTAGATTCTTTTGATTAGTTGAGCTCTTTGCTCCACTTCTTTCAGAGAGTCATGGAAGCTCTTCGTGAAAGATGTGCTGAGGATGAGAATCCTGGACATATTCGTCCGGGGCACAGGCCAGGCGGATCACGGATGCACGCACACAGACAAGCTTCGGCTTTCTAGTGACCTCACACGATCACGACAGCATGTCACTCTAGAGTTGAGGGGTAATGAAGGATTGATATAATTACACGCATAGATACCCTGTAATTAGGAGGATAAATTATTCACGTACTAGTCTCAACTTTTGGACAAGGTGTGTCGTAGTTAGAAGCCACCAGAAACCATGTGATCAAGTTTACCACCTCTTAAAATCCGAGATCCTGTGACCCATAGGACTTTGGAGCTTAATCTTAGCACTTTAATGAGTAAGTATACAACATGGGACGACTAGGGCCCTCTTTACAGGCAGAGCTGTCTAAATTATCGGTGCTGAGTAATCATGAACGAGGGTGAGCAGTTCAACTTTAACAATCACACCACTGCAGCATCGCAAATAAGATCCAGAGGGCGACGAAGGCTTAACATCTATCCACAGAGTCCCCCACGAACCTGGGAGTGAAATATTCTCCCAGAGCCAAGTTTAGTCAAATTTAGTAATCCGAAGAAGTTGGCCCACGAGGCAATGATCTAAAACTCTCTACCAAATCAAACTCTCCCACCCAACGAGATCGATCCACACCAAAACCTCATCAAGTTTACAGGTACGACCAAGAACATCCGCACTTCAATAAATACACCTCTCGTCAACTTACCCTGGCCTCAGCTCTTCGCAAAATATATGCCAACGCCGATATAAATGACTGTCGGAGGAAGATAAAGTGGTTCCCAAATCTATGAGATATTCCTTTGGGGTGAGATGAGATAAGTCAGGGCAGGCTTACGAGATTATACAGAGAATGTATACAATGTTGACGGGTGAGATTTTCAATATTGAAGAACATCGCACCCAAGCTTTCGAATCTAGGAGACCAGGCGATACTAGATAAACAAGCAAGTGATAAGGTGGTCTACGGTATAGTTTAAGTAGCCTGGGAACCTACTCCACTTGGCAAGGAGACGCCTCAGATCATATTTCGCGCGGAGAAAAGTTGATGGATGATGGTGGCTTGTTTGAATAGCTCAGGGTCTATGAGAAGTTATCCTGGGGGAGTATTCATGGATTAGGGAAAACTGAAGAACTGATGTGTGTTGTTTATTTTACTACTTGATTCTATGACTATCTAGTACATTGAGCTACTCTCTGGCTCAGACTACACCTTGTACAGTGCTCATATCCTCTTTCGCTACTTGAAAGATCACTGAGACATTGCCCTTGATGAATAGCCAATCAGCTTAGTATTTACCCGTGGATTTCTGCCACCTTTTCCACGGAACCTTCTACCCAAAAAATAGACTGGTAGCAATGGAAACTGCGTGCGCGGGAAAAAGTCTCGAAAAACCTGCAGCCCCAGCCAGGCGAGGCCTAGACACCGGGACCACATGAGGTGCGCATGTTCATCTATATCGCCCTTCTTTGTAACAGTCGAGTTCGACTTGATCCAATTCACCATCTCCGTATCGAGTGCTGAGTTCGCTCCGGAAACTCATCGGATGGCTTTTCCTCCATGATCAAGTGTTTGTCAAGTGTTTGTGATGAGAAGGGCTTTGACCCTACCTTCTGATTTGATCGTGGTTAGCTTCATGATGATGGTGAAAACGAGATGCGTTGAGAGATGAAGACGATACAGACAGCGAAAGCAATTGGGAATCCTCATCGAAGTGAGGACTTTGTTAATCAATCTCGGCCCTGTAGACTCTACAGCAAGAGATAGAGGTTCGGAGGGGGCACCTCTGACAGGTGTTGGGAAGAGTCCGCCTGTTGCGCCGGATTCGAACCAGTAATCTCCTGTCTCGAGTGGGACATGTGTAAAAGCTATCCAGAGCTTATTTTGGAGAACATTCAAGACGATGTACCACCGAACCAACCAACCATAATGGTATTTAAAGTGTCGCTTGCATTCCTGCAAATTCGTTGCTCTTCGTGGAGCGATGGGCCGAAAAAACTAACACCATGGATCTAGCTAGGTGTGGGACGTTGGGCCAAGGTAGGAAAAATATTCCATTAATTATACTCATCACCAATGCAGCTTTCTGGAACCTTAGCAGAGACCAAAGCTGTACTGCAGTTCAGACAGAATAGAATTAAATTCAAGTCCCTACTGAGTCTGTGACTATGAGGGACTGCTAAATGCTATTGGACGATTATTTGTTCGAGCATGGTTTTTAATTTCAATATTTTCCAATTAAAATTGAGGGTCTAGCCCTGTAAAATACAGATAATAAGTGAGCATATCAGTCTCAATTCTTGTCTTTATCAAAGGAAAATCCCCGGAGTGTTTAATCTAAATTGCGAAAGTAGATATCCGTCCCAAATTATCAAGCATATGGTATTGGCATGTCGTCAGCGAGCAAGGGGAAGAAGAGAGGCACTTCGCGGCAATGATGAATAGCCCAGATGATATGGAGAGGGTTATAAAATTAATCCTGGCTAAAGGCTGGGTTGAACAGTTCCGACTCGCAGGAGAGGTAGCGATAGCAATGAACGAAAAGATGAAAAGATGTGGACAAGGCTAGGATGGAATTCATACTGGATGAACAGTGTAAACGCACTTCCTATAGCACATCCTTTGCACTCCTCCAAGTGTAAGATCGAGTGAAGATTTGTTGGAAATCTAGACTTAGTAAGTATGAAGGTTTAGATTTCGAAGTATGATCATCAAGAATAATTGAATCGATCCGATTGCATATGGTTAAGCTTCGCTGGGCGACATGAGATTCAGTGGCGTCTGGAATTCAGTGGCTAGGAGATGCTACCTTGCGATAATTGAGTAGCTGGTTGTTGCTAGATCACTGGGAGTTTGGGATCACTACAGCCTTGGGAATCTGTATTTAAGGACAGACTTATTTGTAGATATTAAACTAAGTTAACGGAATATTATGTATTATTATTCATATTAAGAAGAGAGTTCGATATCCTATACGAATATCAATAAATTCTTGTCCGAAATTGTAAACTTCTTCTTCGAGATATTTCTTCCCAAAAATCCTTGACAATTTCTAACAAGATTTGTGAGGGGTGGTACTGTTTGAGGGGAGCTTTATGTGAGGCACAGGAAGGGATACACTGCTGGCATAGGAATCCTTGACCTGTAGGTAGAGAGGAACTACAGGTCCTGTATAGTCATAGACTGAGAAAGAACAATAAAATTATAGTAGTGTTGGAAGTCCCGAGAAAACCAATAGATAAGAAACAGATAGATTTGGGGGGTTTTACCGAATTAGTTTCTTCCCTTGTAAATAATATAGCTAGATAAACCTGCATGGGGGCATGGAGTACCTGAACGAGCTAAATAAAATCAGATGCAATGCAGCTTTCTGGGCAAACCAAGCCAGCTGTAGCGGCAGCGATGGATCCTCTCGGATCGCGTACCCATGTCATGTCTCCTGCATGAAGAACTTTAGCCATGTGCACAGACTTATCCACCTTAATTCCGTTATGCAAGGGCGTGTCACCTCATTCATAGCCCTACTGAATTTAGAACCGAAGCCCACTACTGGAAACCAGCCTTATTCATCCATCATCCCGCCTAACTACCTAATTTCTTGTCGAGTAACAATTCATATTTCCAATCATCGCACTCCAGAGTTTAGCTTTTGCATCCAAATTGGCTCATTTTCCGGTACGAAGTTTCCTTCATGCCATTAGAGCCAAGGTTAAAGATATAATATGCTTCTCCTCAGCATAAGATAGTATAATAGATGATAATTAATCGGGCCAGAGGCTCGGTGGTTTTTCCCAACCAAACCTTAAAATACCATTGGTTCTATCTCTTGGCAATGTTGTTGCCAATACTTTTTTTAGAAACTGTTAATTGCTCATCCTCTTTTTCTGTCTTTAAAAGATCAGTTTGTCCCGCCTCGATCGTAGGCTGTCTAGGAGTCGGGATTCGTAAGTCAAAACTATTTTCAGAGCAAACCCCCCGCCACTCAATCAGAGACAGCTTTTGTTCAATTCCTTGACTTACTTCATCCATTTCTCGCACTTTGTAGACAAGAGACGATGCGATATTGATTGTCCCGGAAGAAACAAAACTCAGCTTCACAAACCTATTTAGACTAGCACTGTTTCCTAGTTAGTTATTCGTGAACTGATGGCTTAACAAAATTTACTGAAATAAAATAGAGATTTACTCGCCATTTGATATGATGCACTGCGTTCTGGCATTCCTTCTGACTTCGAATTTTGGCTCGAAGCTGTTTCATCGCATTGCCTTGGTAAGCGATAGTCCTGAAGGATTCGGGTATGGCGTCTGCCAAAATCCAGATGGAAACAGCTTCTCTTTCCCCAGTCAAGACCCTGATATTTTCTCTACAACCGGCCCAAAACCTAGCACAGGTACAGATATTCGGGCTTATTGCTCAACGAAATGGGGGGGTAATGAGATATTAGCTCAACTCGCGAAATATCTGGGCGATCGAACCCACAATTCTCAAGGTGGGCTAGCTGAAGAATATGAAGTGGAAGAAAAATGTCGCCGTTCTATTTCTTCATTAATTCAAACGCCACCCAGATTAAAGCACGCTTCTCTGACAAAAATTTTACAGATTGGTCAATGTGATGAACAAATGATAGCTAATCAAGCCGTTCGGGGATTCATCAAAGTCATTGGAGAATTTAGACGATTTTCCCAGTCGAATGATGAAAGTTACTACATCATTAATGCTGATAAACCGGTCAGTATGGGTAGTGTGGTGAGCAATGGTGAAATATTCATGGTCACAAAAGTTGAGGAAGGGTTCAAGGCACTAGCTTGGTATCAGGGCCACTTGCATCTTTTTCAAAGAAATTTAAATGATGACTTATGGCACCCGATTACCGACCTAATTTCCAGCCAAAGAAACGGACAAATTATCAGTCAATATGTTTGGGCCGCTCATGACAGTCTCTCGCAGATCAAAAGACATCTGGAAAAAGTCAGAGATCAAACTGAGTCCACTTTGAAAAAAAATATACACCGGCTGGAATCTGGAAATATAATCACAGAGAAAAAATTAAGTATTATTATTAAGAATACACACTTAAAAAAACTAGTAGCAGATCCAGCAAACGGCAGGCTGGGTTGAATGGAAAAGTCTCAGTACCTCAAAAAACGCAAACCGAATAGAGATTTATGACAAAATGTGCTGGGACCTTACAACATATTTCACCTTTGCTTTTTATTGAAATCTAATGGTTCCGGGTTTCCATATATTGAGTTAGGTTTGCGGTATTGAATGATTATTGTGGGGTTTTGGGGAAAGGTCTCTGTTACGGATTAACCGTTGTCTGAGTTTAGGACGATACCTAAATGACTTTGAGGATGTCTGAGATGAAGCTCAACGGGGAGGGACAGGCAAAGATGGATGAAACAGCATTACTAGCCAGAAGTTGATACAACTTCAAAGCCTGGTGATTCCTGATAATACTTTATTTTATAACAAGATTAACATAGGAAAAATCATGAGTCGATAGATTCACGAATTTGGTAAATTTTACAAGTACCTATCAGTAGTAGGTATAAGTCTCTTTCCCCTCATAGTTTGATAAATCGACTTAATCAAAACTAACTCGGTTCCCATCACAGTCTTGAAGGATTACTGTCGGTTTATCTAAGATGTAAAAGTAGATGTGTCATCATGTGGAGATGACATGATGACCTCAGCATGGATGCGCTAGCCAGGATCCACAGTATAGCTGTGAATCCTGTATTGCATAGGCAAGATAATGATAAACACTTAGACCAACACAGAATCGTACAATTCGAGAATCCCAAGTTGCCCGTTCCCTCCCTATTATCCATCTCACCCATTATTTATCGAGTCGCATCGTAATTGTTTGCCATCGGCGGCATTTTAAAATGCCTCCGACGCGTAAATCGCACAAAAACGCAATCAGCGGCACAGCCAAAGATCGTGTCAACAAACCGTACCAATGGACTCCCGCCATTCAAAACCACGCGAGAAATATGCTGACAAAACGAGGACTCGAGTCCAACATTCAGAATATGAACACCATCGCGGCTGCTCTCCTAGCTAAGGAGAACGATGTCCCCGAAGCAGACATGGTGGACGCAGAAGTCGAGAAGATGAAAACCCTCGCCGATTCAATGTGGGCATCCTCCAGCCCAGAAGACGTGGAATAAGTCTTGAATCCCACCGAATCACCCATAATAACCGTCATCGCACCCGAAAAGCGCGCTACGGTTCCAGCACTACCGCGACCCGCAGAAGTGAGGCCCGCGACAAGGGCCGATATATCCTCAACCAAGGCAGCAGGAGACGAAAACTCTTCGCTGGCCTCACCGCCTACAGCAACAGAATCAGCAGGCAAAGAAAAAACATACCCTCCAGAATTGCTGGCAGCGATGGAAGCGGAGGAGCGCAGGGCAAGACAAAAAGCCGCTCAATTTAACATCTGCTCGACTGTTATTAGCAGTGTCGAGGCAGCTCTTCTACCGCTCTCCACCGGTGAAGATAAAAATTTTGTAGACTCCATCAAAGTCTACTTGCGAGCAGTAATCGCAAAATTCGTGGCATCCGGTCCAAGCACTGCTCCGCCAGTACTACCCCAAAGACCAAATGTCGCGAATCCCCCTGCGACCGTCATCCCAGTAGCCATTCCTCGGAATATTACAAAGGCTACTGCAGCTCTCCCGCTCAGAAGCACCTGGGCCACTGTCACCAGAGCAGCTCACCAAAAGTCAGGAGCACAGGCTCCTGCAAACATCACCTCGGTTTCGGCTGTCCCATCTGCCAGGAAACCGGAGAAGAAGCCAGCAGCAGCAACAACAGCTTCGAAAGATGACCGACTTTTCCTACGTCTGGATGCAAACCACGAGTGGAGACAGCTCTCTCCGGCTGGCGTTCGCGAAGCCGTGGCTAAACAAACACATTGCACCCCTTCTGATGTCGACCAGGTGCAACGCGTTCCCACTGGCTTTGCCATCCGTGCCAGAAACCCGGATGCAAAACCCCGACTGCTGGAGGCCTCCAGCACCTTTACACAAGTGAAGGCAAAACTAGAACCACCAAGCGATCTAGTTTCCCTCCGGATCGCCACGGTTCCAGTTGCAGTTTTCGGCTTAGAAGGACGAATCGAAGTCACTGCAGAAATGGTGGCTGCCGAAATCCTCAGAGTGACAAACTGCACTCCAGACCGAGTGAGGATACACGGAAATACTAAGCTCGGTGCTCCCTACAGATCCTGGGTGGCCTTGTTTCCCAGGAATGCTAGCCCAAAGCCTGGCTTCCGACTCTTTGACGACTCGGGAGTAGCGACAATCCAACGAAACCGCCCTGCCATACAGCAATGTAGGCGATGTCTCGGCTTCCACGCCACCCGTGGGTGCTCTCGCGCGCCAGCCTGCTGGAACTGCGGATCCACCATGCACTCGGCATTCGAGTGTAAAGCGGCCTCTATGTTACGGCTTGAGTTTACAGATGATAGGTTTATGGTATCACGTGATGTGGAGTCTGGTTGAGTAAGCGTTGGTCCCGGAAGCGAGCTGGTGGAGTTTTCAGCCCAGCGAGGCTGCAGACCTCTTTCTCTCCTTGTCTTTTCTTTTAGTTATCGTGCGTAGCTTTAGGTCCAAATACAAAGCAATTACTCTTTTATATTTCGAGGGAGTCTTCTAGTGTCAACCTGAGGTCGGTCGTAATACTCTAAATGTCGAAACTGCGGAGGCCCCCATCAATCTGGCAGTCGAGACTGTCTAGCTCGTCCCAACAGGTCTGGCCCAGCTACCAGGGAGCAACTTGTGACGATTAGACAAGCTGGCCAACGCGAGTACCAGGCCGTCGCTCGAGCCAAGGCTGCTACAGCTGCCGCTAGATCGACACGATCGACTTCTCGAGGTGCTGTTAAGGACATATCATCAATAGATACAGCAATGACTGAGGGTTCGGGCTTTGGGGCCTTGAACCCTGAAGAAGCTTTGTGAAGGGCGCCCTACGGGCCCCTTCCCGCCCCCCTCCTACACTAAGTTTTATGTCAATAAACGTATGCAGGGGCGGCCCAACTCACTATATCGCGCTCTCTAGAGCTTACGAACTAGGCGTGGATGTTGTGATGATTCAAGAACCTTGTTGGATCAAACAAACGAACGAAACCAAGTCACACCCAGGTTACCTCTGTCATACACCGTACGGAGGTGTGGATGTCAGACCGAGGGCGGTGACTTACACTCGGAAAAACGAAAAGGTGATATCGGCAGAGCAGATCTTCCCTTGTCATAGGCTGACTGGGGACTACTGCTGGGTACTGGTCAATGGAATCACATTTCTCAACGTCTATAAGGCCCCTAACGACCCGACTGCAGTCCGCACGCTTGTCGACTGGAAACCGTCCGCGAGGTGCATTGCAGCCGGAGACTTCAACTCAGTGCATTCTGCCTGGCATCCGGGAGCAACTCGGCTTTATGGACAGGGTGATGAGATAGAGAGGTGTGCGGAAGACCACAACCTCTCTTGTCTTATAATTGGAGAGCCGACTCATAAAGCTGGCAATACTCTTGATCTCGCTTGGACTAACATTTCTGGAGCCCGTGCTTGGGTCGATAGAGAGGAGTGTATGACCAGCGACCATCTTCCGATCCGCGGAATCGTACCTGCAGCAACCTTCACCGGGAACCCGGGCCCATCGAAGATCAGAGTGCCCAAGAAAAATCTGCCAAATTTTGCGCGTGCCGTTGCGAAGTGGGTGCATCCGCCGTTAGACTTGAGTAAAAAAGAGAAGGTGGATGAGTATGCCCAAGAGATTTGCTTCCATCTCTCGGAGGCCATCAAAGCGACAGGAACCCGGGCCAGAAAAGAAAGCGGCAAATCTGCGCCGTGGTGGACTCCTATGTGCAAATCTGCACACGCCGAATACCGAGCCACAACGACACCGAAACAGCGGGCCACTTGTGCGAAGAAGCTTCGTGCGACAATCTCAGCCGCCAAGAAAGAGTATCAGACAAGTCAAGTGGAAGCAATGATAGCACCGTCTGACATATTCAAGCTGATACTTTTGGTAAACCATAGACAGGCCAAAGCCCCTCCGCCACTCAATCACAACGGAAAGTTCATCACGGACCCGTTAGAGCGAGCTACCATTCTCCGAGACGCCCTTCTTGCACGCCACCAAGAATCGGACGACCTTCCGCCATGCAACACTCTAAGCGATAATCGAATACCTTGGGAAGGCGAAATCTCAGACGAGGAAGTGCGAACTTGCACAATCGGCTGTGGGAAGACAGCACCAGGGGCAGACGGAATCACGGTTGAGCTCCTCGAGGCTTGCTGGAAGACGATTGGACCGTGTATTTTGCAGCTCTTTAGAGCCTGTTTACGGCTGGGCACTCATCCTATTTGCTTCAAGCTGGCAGAGGTGGTACTACTGGAAAATCCAAATAGGGGCCCAGCCACAATTAAAGGCTGGAGACCTATAGCCCTCCTCTCGTGCATAGGCAAAGGGTTAGAAAGACTACTGGCCAAACGAATGGAGTACCTCGCAATCACCTGTGATGTGGTTGGCCATCAACAATTTGGTGCGCTCCCAAAGAGATCTGCAACGGACCTGGTTTTCTGCGTAGTCCACGATGTCGAAGAAGCATGCTCCCAGGAATGGGCCTCAACCTTCGTAACTTTAGACGTCCAAGGAGCGTTCGATGCTGTGCTCCACAACCGCTTGGTTAGGCGCATGCAAGCTCAGGGATGGCCAGACTCAATCCTCCGATGGACGACTTCATTCCTCACACATTGGAAAGTTCAAGTGCGTTTCTCCGGCGGAGTCACCACCCAGAGAGAGCTGGTCTGGGGAGTCCCCCAGGGATCACCTATTTCGCCATTACTATTTCTTCTGTATATGGCGGAGCCAATGAAAAGTGGTACCTCGGGATTGAGGTTTAGCTACGCGAACGACATTGGAATTCTAGGGTTTGGACGCACAATTGCTGAACCTGCCGCTGCTGTACAAGGTGAGACAGATCATCTTCTCGAATGGGCGCGGAATAATGCTGTCGACTTTGACACGGAAAAATCGGAAGTTATTCAATTTCCGGGACGACGCCGAGAGGAAGCAATTGGTGTTCATGTTAACGAAACCC